AGAGAATAATAATCCCAGCTATCTGAGTTCAAATCATTGAAAGCCCAAACATAATAAAAAAAAACACACACAAAACTTTTTAAACTGATCTCAGAGAGGAAGGGAGAGGAAGACAGAGACAGAAACATCAATGATGAGTGAGGATGTTGAGAAAAGGGAATCCTAGTACATTGCTAGTGGGAATGCAGAGTGGTGCAGCCACTGTAGAAAACAGTATGGAGTTTCCTCAAAAAATTAAAAATGGAACTACGATTTGACTTAATGATTCTTCTTTTAGAACTATACCTTAAGAAACCAGAAACACCGATCAGAAAGAATATATGCACCTCTATGTTCATAATAGTGCAATTTACAATGGCTAAGATTTGGAAATAGTCCAAGTGCATACCTGCAGATGAGTGGATAAAAATATGTATACATCTATACAATGGAATACTATGCAGCTGTAAAAAAGAAAGATCTCTTATCATTTGCAACAGCATGGATGGACCTAGAGAGCACTATGCTAAGCGAAATAAGCTAGTCAGAGAAAGATAAATATCACATGATCTCACTCATATCTGGAATCTAATGAACAAAATAAACTGAGGAACAAAGTAGATCCATAGACATAGAAGATGAATTTCAGAGGGAAGGCAGGGGTTGGGGGTGAACGGAGCGTGATTAACCAGGGAACTTATGTGCATACTAAAGAGAGACCCAGTGCACAAATTCATGCATGGGTGTGGTCTGGCTGGCCTGCCCCAGTTGGGGCCACAGAGAGGGGATGTGGGAGGTTGGCTGGCCCCACCCTTGGTCAAGGGTGGGGCTGGCTAGGGGGAGAGGCCATATGTCCTGGCCCCTTAATGGAACTCTTGGTCAAACTCCTAGTAGAACAGGCATTTTGCATCTTAGACTTTAATTATATAGGATAGGCATAGCCCATGGGCACAGACAATAGAGTGGTGAAGGCCTGGGGGTGGGGTGAGGGTGGAGTGGAGGGAGTCAATGGGAAAAACAAACAATAAACAAACAAACAAACGGGACATCTGTAATACTTTCAACAGTTAAAAAAAGAAGAAAAAGAAACATCAATTATGAGAAAGAATCAATGATCAATTGCCTCCTTTGGGGGGAGCCCACAACCCAGGCATTTGCCCTGGCCTGGAACTGAACAGAAAGCTCCTGGTTCATAGGTCCAAGCTCAACCACTGAGGCACACCTGCCAGGCCTAACCATAACTTTTGAAGGCACCTTTAAGCTTCAGGTAAGAACTGTCGACAAAACCGGTTTGGCTCAGTAGATAGAGTGTTAGTTTGTGGACTGAAGGGTCTTGGGTTCGATTCCAGTCAAGGGCATATACATTGATTGTGGGCACATCCCCGGTAGGGGGTGTGCAGGAGGCAGCTGATGGATGTTTCTCTCTCATCGATGTTTCTAGCTCTCTATCCTTCTCCCTTCCTCTCTGTAAAAAATCAATAAAATATATTTAATACATAAAATAAAATAAAAGTAGTAGGAATAAGTCCCCCCCCCCTTGGTCTTCTTAAAAAAACAAAACAAAAAACTGTCTTTTCTTTGTCCCCCAATTCTGTGTCTGTCCTTGGTCCACAGAAGTGCACATGTTACTTTTATAATCTCCCAGCACCTGCCAGAATTCTCTATCAGGCCATGTGATGGGAGTTATGACTGGTGGAGAGGGCACAATATCAGACCAGACCCCAGAGGCACCAGGGATCCACAAACAGCCTTCCACAAATGGTTCCCACCTGAACTTGTATGCAGACTCAATAAATAATTCAAATAATTCTGACCTTAAGAAAGTGAGTTTTCATTTTTTAACATTATTTCCCTCTTTACATACACATATCTGAGTGCATATATGTGTTTATACTGAACTATTTGAAAGTTGCAGATATTATAACACTTCACCCCTAAATAGTATGCTTGCACCTCCCCAAAATAAAAACATTTACCCACTATACTAATATCACTACTAACACAGTGAATATTAATTTTTGTTGTTGTTAATCTTCACCCAAGTATTTTTTCCATTGATATATAGAAAAATATATCAATGGAAAAAATTGATCTCTCTCTCTCTCTCTCTCTCTCTCTCTCTCTATATATATATATATATATATATATATATATATATATATATATATATTGATCTCTCTCTCTCTCTCTCTCTATATATATATATTCTCCAAATATCCATGAAGTATACAGTACCATCTCCCTCCAACTCCACCTTGCTCTTCATAGACAATAATATTAGTTTTGTGTGTATATATATATATAGAGAGAGAGAGAGAGAGAAAGAGAGAGAGAGAGGAAGGGAGGGGGAGAGACAGAGAGAGAGAGACATCAATGTGAAAGAGACATATAGATTAGTTGCCTCCTGAACATGACCAGGGGGCGAAGGATTGAGCCTGCAACCGAGGTATGTGCCCTTGACCTGAACTGAACCCACAACCCTTCAATCCAAGGGCTGACGCCCTAACCACTGACCAAACCAGCTAGGGTATGAATATCAATAATGCCATATAACATAGAATTTGTATTCAGTGTTTGCCTGTTTTCTCCCAAAATGCCTTTTGTAGAGGTTTTCCTTTTTAATCCAGAAGCCAATCAACTGGGGTGAAACTATGAAACCTTGTGAAAACACTCATCCTCAACAATGTTTCACTCAATGGTTTTGGCGATTAATGATGACTCTTTCTTGAATAAATTATTACATTTTCTGATCTCCCCCCCCCCCCAATCCTCCTGCGTTTGTTAGCTGGCATTCTTTCAGCATTACCATCCACCATCTCTTTCTCTGAGTATGAACTGTTATAGACAATGTATTATAATCCAGAATGTGTTTTGAGGCTTCAATCACCCAAAATTTGGCCAATGACGACCCTTCAAGGGGGTTCCTGGGTTCTCTCTAGTCTCTGGCAGGAGATGCTCCAGGGCACCATGTACCTTCCTGCCCCTGGCTTAGAATCAGCCGCTTTGTCCAGGACCTACTTTGCTATGAATAGATCCACATCCCTCAATTCTCCAAATATCCATGAAGTATACAGTACTATCTCCCTCCAACTCCACCTCGATCTTCATAGATAATAATATTAGTTTTGTGTATATCTTCCCAGAGAGTTTATATAATAAATCAAAGGCACAGATAACTATTCATACCATCTCCCCATGTTTCAACTCCAATGATAGCATATTACACTCACTGTATTTGTCTATACTTGTAGCTCTTGTCTGTCCTCAGATTCTGAAAGATGCCTATGATCCCAGCCCCAAAAGATTATGAACCTTTAGGCTAAGTCTTTTTTTTTTTTTTAATTTATTTTTATTGCTTTCAGAGAAAAAGAGAGCCGGAGAGAGAGAATTATCAATGATGAGGGAAAATCATCAATCAGCTGCCTCCCGAATGCTCCTCACTGGGGACTGAGCCAGCTACTCTGTGGATGGTTAGCTGGCATTCTGGTTCACAGGTCGACACTCAATTACTGAGCCACTCTGGCCGGGCTAGGCCAAGTCTTAAATTTTCATAGGAGAAAAGCTCAGGAAGGGTGACTTGACTAATTGCACTGGCAACTATTAGTCCCTCTCTAGACTCCTGGACAACTCCTCATTCTTCAAACATCAGTTTAAGCCTCCTTTCCCCAGCTAGCAGCTGATGTCCTCTGACTACAAGATTTCAGACCATGAGGCACTTTTCCTTCATGGCACATGCATAAGTCACTGTATCAAAACTCGTCTCCTGCCTCGGTGCGGACAAGAGCCACATCTGCCTTTGTTCACGGCTGGCACCCAGTAGTTCCTCCACACACACACACACACACACACACACACACACACACACACACATGCATGGAGTGAAACTCGAACTCGGGGTGCGTCTGGCTTCCAGTCCGCGCTTCTTCCTCCTGCAGTCCCGCCGCGGTTGGAGAAATCATTCCAAGACGTAAATAATAATAACAACAATAAAAAACCTCAATAGGAAAAGCTGGGAAGTCTTTTCATTTCTACCATTAATGGAGGACCTCAGCTGAAACTGCTCACCGCGAGGTGTGACGACCGCGGGAGGGCGTCAATCAGGAAAATGCCCCCTTGCCCCGCAGGCGAGCGGGGGCTGCACGGAGCCGAGGCCACACTGGGTAGCGGCGCAGCTTCAATAGGAAACACGTGCAAAGCGGGGAAGTGGGGGTGCGCGCAGCTGCGATCCCCCAGGACCCGGGGCGAGGGGACGCGGAGCCCTCCCCGCTGGGTCGGAGAAGACGGCACAGGCTTTGCCTTGGGGCTCCATCACCCAGAATTTCCCCGATTCCTGCCGGGGAGAGGCTTCTCCGGCGTCCCCGGGGGACCCACCACATGAACCGGGAACCCGGAGCACCTCAAGTCTATGTCTTTTATCCACCGGGACGCACCTAAGGGCCGTGGGTCCCTCTCCTGGGAGCCGCCCCAGCAGCACCCCAGGGCGCTCTCCTCTCCCAAGAGCCAGAGCCGCTCCGGGGCCACAGCGAGCGGCACCGTTACTCCGGGGAGGGCGCCGCCGGCCGGGGAGGGTGCTCGGAGGCCCGAGGAGGCGCGGCCCCGGTAGTGGCCTCGACGCTCCACCAGGATCGAGTCCGGTGACCCCTCGCCTGGGGCCGGGCGCCCTCACCCACCCCGGGCTCCGGCCTGGATCGGTGCTCCCGGAGTTCCAGCAGAGAATGCCCCCCGGCTGTGCTAGGGCTGCCTGAGTCCGCGTTCCCTGCGGCCGGTCCCCTCCCGTCTCCCCGACGAGCGCGGCCCCGGGTTCCTCCGAGGGCGTCCGGGCCGGGGTGCCGCCGGGAGCGCAGAGCCGGGCCCCGGGGCGCGGGGTCCCGGGAGCCTGGGAGCCGGCGCGTCCCGGGGGCGGGCGGGGAGCGCGGCGGCCGGCGGGGCGGGCCGAGGGCGGGCGGGGGCGGGCGGCGGCTCCGGGGCTCCGTGCCATTGGCCGCGGGCCCGGCGGCAGGAAGGGGCCGGAGAGCGCGGCCCCACCCCGCGGCCGCCGAGCCTATCGCCGGGGGCGCGGGGCGCGGATAAAGGTAGCGGCGCGGCGGCGCGGCCGGAGCTCTGCGGGCCGGGGCGCACGGAGCCATGCAGTTCCCGCACCCCGGGCCGGCGGCGGCGGGCGCCGTGGGGGTGCCGGTGCCGCTGTACGCGCCCACGCCGCTGCTGCAGCCCGCGCACCCCACGCCCTTCTACATCGAGGACATCCTGGGCCGCGGGCCCGCCGCGCCCGCCCCCGCCCCCGCGCTGCCGTCCCCCAACTCCTCCTTCACCAGCCTCGCGCCCTCCTACCGGACCCCGGTGTTCGAGCCCACGCCGGTGCACCCCCCCGCCGCCTTCCCGCACCCCTCGGCCGCCGCGCTGGCCGCCGCCGCCGCCGCCGCCGCCGCCTACGGACCCGGCGGCTTCGGGGGCCCCCTGTACCCCTTCCCGCGGACGGTGAACGACTACACGCACGCCCTGCTCCGCCACGACCCGCTGGGTAAGGCGGCCGGGGTCACGGCGGGGCCGAGCCGCGGCGGCGGCGGCGGGGAAGGCGCCGCCCGGCAGGTGGCAGCGCCCCGGCGGCGGCGGGGGCGGCGATAGAAAGTTGCGGCCAAACGCGATCGGGTCGGAGAGCGGCTCCGCGGGCGCGCGCGGGGCCGGGGAGACGCGGGCGGCGGCGGGAGTGACCGCACCGTGACTCAGATTGGTTTTTCCGGGACCTCCCGGCCGGCCGGGGTGCGACTTCGGGCGCTGCCGCCGGGGGATCTGGCAGCCGGAGGCCCTGGTGGGGCGCGCGCGCCGCCTGGGGAGGGGGCCCCCGTGGCTGGAGGGCCGGGGGAGGGAGCGCCCAGGCGGGGGTCGGGGGTCCCCTGGGCTGGAGGGCCGGGGGAGGGAGCGCCCAGGCGGGGGTCGGGGGTCCCCTGGGCTGGAGGGCCGGGGGAGGGAGCGCCCAGGCGGGGGGTCGAGGGTCCCCTGGGCTGAAGGGCCGGGGGAGGGAGCGCCCTGGCGGGGGCTGGGGGGCCGGGGGGCCCCGGCCGGCCCTCCCCTCGGGGCTGGGAGAGCCGCCGCCGCCGGGTCCGGGTGGCGGACGGGGCTGGCCCCGGTTCAAGCAGCCTGTGCAGTGAGAGAGAGCCTGACCCTTTCCGTTCATACAGGAAACCTTGAGCTCTCGATAGGAGTAAATCTGGTTTCAGAAAGCTGTTAAGTGTTTTCCTGGCTGCGCGGAGCAGACCCTTCCCCCGGAGCCGTGCGCGCTGCTGATTACTTTATCGACATCCTCAATACAGACAAATTCAGGAAACACTCGGCTTCTGATAGCCGGGATCCGTTTTTCTGATATTGTTCATTTCCTCTGTGTGGGATGGGACTGTAAGGCAGCTAAAATAACCAGTTGCTTCCTTTTTTTTTTTTTTTGGAGGCTGTTTTGCACCAAGTCTGAAGCCTGACGTAAGCAAAATCTCGAAAAACAACACATAAGACACACACCACACACACACACACACACACACACACACACACACACACACACACACACACAAAACAACAATGCCAGCTTTTCAAAGCGTTTAGGCGCAGGCCCACAGCCCCACGGACGGACGGACGGACGGACGGACACGTCTCCGGAGTGCGAAGGGCAGTGCGGACGCGTTGGGCACAGAGAATTTGCGGGACTTGGAAGGCGCCCTGGCTCCGCGCTCCCTCCCGGCGGCCCAGGGCGCCTCTGGCCCCCGAGGCTTCTTGCCTGGGGCTCCCAGGGTTTTAAATCCCTTTGTTATTGGCAGCTTCTGAAGAGACCCCTGGAGACAACTCACATTTCCATCCATTCACATTTTAATAACCTTAGGATGGTACGGCCTCTACTTCAGTTCTCCATCCTCTCCTCCTTGTTAGAGAGATGAGGTGGAGGATTATATTTTAGTTCTCTCTCTCTTTTTTTAATTATTATATCGTATTTTTTAATCTCAGCCTCGAGGGTTTGTTTGGTGCTGCGTGGCTGTCAGCCTGCTGTGGCGGGAGAGGTGGGGATGGGGTGGGGGTGGCTCCCAGCCGGGCCGGGGTTGGGGGCGAACGTTTCGCCGCGCGCGCCCTGGGCTTCCTTGGGTGACTGCTGGGACCGCGCAGGAGGAAGCGAAGGGTTTTCGAGTTAGACCAACAGGAAACACATTGACGGAAATGTTGCCATAGCCCAGGGGGTGGCTTTAACTGGCCGCCCCCGCGGGCCGGGTGTGAAATCAAAGGAGGCCGCGGCGCCCGGGGCCCAAGATTGGGAGCCCCACGCGCGGCCCAGCGCGTGGCTCCTCGGTCAGACCCCGCCGTGGGCCGCGGCCACAGCCGCCTGTGTGCATGGAACGGCCCGCTCCTCCCCAACAGACACTCCGAGTAGCTGGAAAGTGCAGTTCACCAAAGGGAGAGAGGACCTAGAGGTGCCAACAGTTGTAGTTATAAATTGGAGAGCCACTGGTTTCAGAGGGGCTTGGTATTTTCAGCTCAGCCTAGAATGGGCGTCCTTTTGGCGATCAAAGGATTTGGATGTTGGTTTCCAGCTCTGGGTGTGAAGGTGGTGTGTATGTGTCTGTGATTGTTCAACGTGGTCTCTGTGTATTGCAGGGCAGGGGTGTGACTGGCTGTTGCTGTGTCCCTGGGTGTGCATGTGTATGGGTGGTCCATGTGCCGGTGACGGTAGATGGACGGGTCTGGTGGGGTGGTGTCCTCCTGAATCTCCTCACCCGCTCCGCCACCCCCAGGGCCAGGGAGTTAGTTGTAGGGTCACCAGGCAGCTGCGCCAGGGCCATCACTCACCAGCCCTCTCTCTGCCCACAGGCAAACCTCTGCTCTGGAGCCCCTTCCTGCAGAGGCCTCTGCATAAAAGGAAAGGCGGCCAGGTGAGATTCTCCAACGATCAGACCATCGAGCTGGAGAAGAAGTTTGAGACCCAGAAATACCTCTCCCCGCCCGAGAGGAAGCGTCTGGCCAAGATGCTGCAGCTTAGCGAGAGACAGGTGAGCACGCCGGGCTGCCGGGCAGGCTCTCCCGGGGCAGGCAACGAGAGCAGAGGGGAGCTGTGGAGCCACGGTGCCAGCCTGCTCCGGAGCCTGGCTGTCCAGTGTCTGGGGCTGTGGTCCGCTGTGGAGCCCAGAGTCTGCCTCCTCCCCACCACGTCTCTTGGGATCCAGGGCTGGTGACAAGTTTTCTGTCTCTTTTTTCCTGTATAGGTCAAAACCTGGTTTCAGAATCGACGCGCTAAATGGCGGAGGCTAAAGCAGGTATGGACATGGTTCTGTTTCTATGGAAATAAATATTTTTTATCAGGTTATCTCCACGCGAGGCCTGTTCTATAGGTTGTATGCAGAAGTCATTTGAGAGACTATTTAACCTCTTCACCTTGATTAAAAAGGCAAATAGTCTTTGCTGAAATTCAGGATGAGTTGCTCAGGTGGCAGTAATGCTAAAAGCACCTAATGCAGTTCCTATGTCAATTATGCTTGGGTTTTCACACACTGGCTAGTAAAACTCCTGGCTAATTGTTTTATAAACCCCATATGTTGTTTATCTAATTAACGCAGGAAAGATAAAGTAATTGACAGTAAATGACTTAAGCAAGTTATCTTTGGGAGAAAATTGTTTCTTTTATTGACACAGCCATAATAAAACCAGTCAGAGCTCAAGGGTAAATATAAGGAAATAAACACCTTTAAGTCTTGTTTGCACTGTTTTTAAAGAATTAAATATCAAAGAGTTTAAAAATTATTTCCCATCTAATGCCAGCTCTTAAAAATGAATATAAAAAACATGTAAGAGAATATCCAAGCCTGTTTGGAAAGTAGCTTAAGCTTTCTAACAGTCTTTCTTCCTATGACCTTGTTACGCAATAAGTGATTAAAAAAAAAGTAAAGGCTAATTCAGTTTTTAAAAGTTCTTAACTTAAGGCTGAAGATTTATTTATGAAGTCCTAATCAGGATGACTTCTCCAGAGTAACCTGCAATTGCTGAATTGTTCATTTGCCAATGTATGTGTAGTTTATATAATAGTAAATAAAATATATATATATATATTTTTTTTTAGTAAATAAAATATTTTTGAAACAATGGTACAAGTTGGGAAATTGAAAGCAGTGTGCATTTTTAAATGTAGTAACCATAAAAGTTTTTCATTAAAAACAAGATAGTGTTACAAAGAACATTTGGAAACAGGAAATAAAGTTCATTTCATTTTTCTAATGTGATTTAATTATTTTCAGGTTTCCCTCAATTTCTGACCTTGTGCATATATTTGTTACATAGATCCAAGCCTGGTGAATCTATTATTCTATAAACTTGCTTAAAAAAACACACAACAACATACTTTATAATATTTCTATATAGTGTTTATGTCCATTTTAGACAAACACAGGATTAAAAATTTACTAGCTCATTTAGTTCTTGGTCAAAAGTGGTACTACAGTTTATTAGGGACTTTTAAACTAGAGACACCTATGTAATATGGGAATATTTTAAAGAAATTCCCCTCAGATTTTAAGTTATAATTGTTTCTCTTCTCAGTTGGCAACATTCTTCCAGTTCTACATTTATTTATTTGCCATGATTTTGTAACCTGTTACACATATTTATGTATGTTTATAAACATACTCCAGAAAACAGATGAAAAAGATTCAATCTAATAATTTGAAATTTTTTCCTTAATCACTATTTAGCATTCATTAAAAAAAAAAAATGTCTAGTCCTAGCCAGTTTGCCTCAGTATTTAAAGCATTGATTCACTGACTGATGAGTCTTAGGTTTGATTCCCAGTCAAGGGCATGTACCTCTGGTTGCAGGATCGATCCCCACTCTTTGTTGAGGTGTGTACTGGAGGCAACTGGTGTTGATCTATATCACTCACATCGGTATTTCTCTCTCTCTCTCTCTCTCTCTCTCTCTCTCTCTCTCTCTCTCTCTCTCTCTCTCTCCCTCCCTCCCTCCCTCCCTCCCTCCCTCCCCTTCCTCCCTTATACTTCTCCAAAAATCAATGGAAAAAAAATATCCTCAGGTGAGGATTAAAAAAAATGTCTAGAAGGCCCTGTTAATTGGCCAAATTTAACTACAATATTTGAAGAATGATGATGCTGTGTATCTGCAGTGGTCTGATTTCTCCCTCCCATCCCCTAAACTTTTAAGAATCTTCAGATCATCAAGATTTGGGCTGGAATTTTTGACTTAATACCTTTACAGTTATATTTGTGATTGGTTGTTCTTATTTGGCAAGAGTATAATCTTTCTCTGATAGGAAAAGAAGTTTTTCCAAAGTGAGAAAAAGAGTATGCCTTATATATGTAGAGTCTATAAGCTAAGAGCAAAGGATAAACTAAAAATTAAAAAGGTGGTAGAGGGCAAAAAGCCTTTGATTTAGGTCTCACCTTTTTCCTATCTCACGATCCACCCATCTCCATTTCCATCCTCTTCAGGAGAACCCTCAGAGCAATAAGAAAGAGGAACTGGAAAGTTTGGACGATCCCTGCAGCCAGAGGCAGGACTTGCCCTGCGAACAGAACAAAGGTGCTCTGGATAGCTCTCAGTGCTCGCCTTCCCCTGCCTCTCAGGAGGACCTGGAGTCCGAGGTCTCAGAGGAGGATTCTGACCAGGAAGTGGACATTGAGGGCGATAAAGGCTATTTCAATGCTGGATGATGATCACTGACACGGGCACCTTCAGAAAACTGGACTTGGGAATGATATCTGCAACAGGAAATCTCTGCAGACAACCGGCAAACTGTGTGGGAGAGGAGATCAGTTTGCTGGCATTCTGGGAACCGAACACACTTGGTGCACTGGCTAACTAACAAGCTCACCTTGAAACCTTAATTTTGACCTAAAGCAATTTATATATTGATTTTCGTTTGTACCATAAGGGGACTTTTCACTGGTTAAATTTACCCCCTTTTTAAAAAGTAAAATTCCCCCCCCCTATTTATACAAAGTAATTTTGAATATTTTGGTTGACTTTTTTAAGTTATGACTTTAAAGATTTTAATGGGACCTTCTTGAATAACTTTCCTATAATCTGTATCTTCATCCCACGTAACAGAAAACCAAAGGGTACCCCACATTCAGAGGTATGCCTTGGAAAGGGGGCCCACATTTCGGGCAGCCTTGAAATATTTTAAAAGGGAACATTCTTTACTTTATATTACGTTCTTATACCGCTGCCTTAAATCCAAAAGCGGCTCAGAGCTCATCTCCGGGATGTGTGTGCCTTTTGTTAGAAAGAGATAGTTGGTAATCTTAAAATGCTTGTCTTGCACTATCACTTAGTACCTGTTTGACTAAGGTGCTAAGGATAGTGCTGCCCAATCCAGGCAGAAAAACTGACTCCTTGGCGACTGAAATTACTAGTAAGCCCAGGAACTAGGAATCGCAGGTTAATGAAATGTAAGTAGACTGTAGATATTGTGTTTTACATCAAACAGTGTTTATAATGTGTATATGTGTATATATAATTGTTCCACTGTAAAAAACAAACAAACAAAAAAACATGGCCAAAATATTTTTTGTGTGTTTTTTAATGAGTAACCTGCCTATAAAATAAATCTGTTGGTGAGATGACTGTCTTCGTCAGACCTCTCCTTCGGTTAGAACAAATCTGCACTCTTACACCTGCCCCGGGTGCCCTGCGGGGGTGCTGGGGTGCCAGTCTCCGTGCTGGGCGCTGACCCCACCCGCCCGCGCAGAAGCCTCGGGCGGTGACGGCGCTGGGGCTCCAGCAGCCGGAGCACCGGGGGCGCGGGCTGGGCCTGGGCGGGCGCGCGGGGCCCGGGCAGGTAGGTTCGGGCCTTTCCCCAGGTGTGTGCAATGGATGGGTGTGTGCGCGGGCGGCTGGGGCTGCGGGGGAGGCTCCGGCAGGCAGGTCGGAGCCCAGGGCGCCCCAGGAGGCGGCGGCGACTCCGCAGAGTCCCATTGATTCGCCTCGGCTGCCACCTGGCCCGGCCGCTGTCCTTGACCGACCTGAGTCAACACTGCGCCCTCCCCTGGCTGCCCAGCGGGGCTGGGGGGCCGCTTAGCCCGGGAATGGGGGCCCTGGCCGGGAGCAGCGGGAGGCAGGGCCGCTAGGACAGCAGTTCCCATGCCTCCGGGAACTGCAGAGTCACCTGCGGAGCTTGCTGGAACTCCTCCCGCCGGACCTGCACCAGCGTTCCTGATTTGTTGTTGGAGTGACAGGGAAGGTGCATTTCTAACAAGTGCTCCGATGAGGTCAAAGTTGCTGGTGGGGGACCAAGCTTTGAGGACCCCTGTTCTTTAGTGGGCTGGAATTTGCTCCTCAATTCCCACCGCTCACTCCTCCTTCACCTGCTTAGAGAGGGGAAGAGGGAAGCCGGGAAGCAGGGCCTATCCGAATTTGACGGTTGAGGGGAGGGAGCAGGGTCAAGGAAGGGACGCTGTGACATAGGGAGAATGAAAGTGCTGACAGTGGGGGTGAGGACGGAGAGAAAGGGTGAGAGAAAGGGTGGGCTGGGGTTTCCGATTGGCCTAGGGTATTGCTGTTCTGCATCTAGCTGCTTGCCTGATGGTCCAGGAAAAAGAGGAGAGTGACCTGTAGGAGGAGAAGCCCAGAAATCTCTTCTAACCTATGTCTCCATGGGGGCCTCCAGATGCTGTGCGGTGGGTGCCTCCTGGCAGAGGTTCTGTGCAGGTGGCTGGCCAGCGCTGTGGCTCCCCAGATGTGGGCCCTCAGGTGAAGACAGAGTGAAAAAGTCACTGCTCTTGGGGGGTTGTTGCATCCTTGGAATGGGCTGGAATTGCCTGTGAATTGAGATGAGTGTGGCCCCCTTAGGCAGGGCGGTGTGCATAGGCCTGGAAGCGTATAGATCTGAGTTGAAGCTTTAGCTCTTGCTGAAACCGGTTTCGCTCAGTGGATAGAGCCTTGGTCTGCAGACTGAGAGGTCCCAGGTTCCATTCCGGTCAAGGGCATGCACATTGGTTGCCCGCACATCCCTGGTGGGGGGTGTGCAGGAGGCAGCTGGTCATGTTTCTCTTTGTTTCTCTCTCATCAACGTTTCTAGCTCACTATCCCTCCCCCTTCCTCCCTATAAAAAAATCAATTATATATATATTTTAAAGAAGTTTTAGCTCTTGGCCTCATTCTCTATCTGTAGGATGAGCACAGCCTGGCTGATCTACACCTTCCCTTCCAGCCCCCCAATTCCCAACTCAGTTCAAGGTCTTTTTATGGCTTCTCCTGTTCTGGTTCTCTCCTCCGTGCTGGCACCCAAAGGAGACACCCAGTGGGAAGGTCTCCTTTCCCATCAGCTGCCGCCGGCTCCGCACAGCCTAACCCAGCCTGACAGGTTACATCAGGGTTCCAAAGGTTGTGATCAATCTCCTTTGAAAACGGGGACTGTCTGTATCAGAGTCTGAGAGAATGGGAGGCTTGTGGGCCTAATATTGAATTAAAGCAAATCCTGAAATCAGTGTGTGTGTGTGTTTTGCTCCTGGAGATAACCTCTGGTTAATATTTATTCTTGAGAATAACTGTATCGTGACTGTCAGGCTGAGAAGTACAGGCTTCTGTGCTGATGGGCACCGGGGAAGTTGAGGGGTGAAGTCTTGTTTCAAAGGAGAGGATTCCTGAAACCCGGGCAGTACTCCAACTTAAAGCCATTTCCATCTCGCTTCAAGTTGCTCATATTCTGAATCTAAATGTGTCTTTAAGAACCAAGAGCGTGTTCGCTGAAGAAGCACAGTGTTCTTAGGACACAGGTTGGCATTAACTGCTCTCTACAGTGCCCCGCTGCAGATTGCCAGCGAATATTTACAAATTCTTCCTACAATCCAGGCATTTTTCATTTGTTTGCCTTTTGGCTATTTCATGTGGAAGCGGCATGTATGACCTTTACAGCACAGCTCCTGTCTTGTTTTTAACTCTTTTTATCAGGAGATTCAACTCGAAAACGGTTATCATTTAGCAGAAAGACAAACAGAAAAGCACATTTTTGTAAGCAAAATGTTAATGATTGGAAGAATTGCCCTAATTTCACCGTGGCAGTGTGTGATTAATCCCCTGGGTCATGTACTTATATTTTAAGTTATTCAGTTCGTTGGTCTTTGATATTCAGAACCCTTTCCAACTTAATAGGATATTGATTTTGTTGGATGATGTACTTTGACTCTTTAAACAACATCATTTTGAGGGATGACTAGCCTCTTGGGTAGTATTTTATTTAGAGAACTATTGCATAAGGCTTCTTTTCTCTTAGTTTTTATGGTTTTCTCAGCGGGAAAGCTGATAAGACATCTTGTGGGAAAAGAGGAAACCATCCCTGAGAGTGAAAGTACCTATTCTCTTTCAACATTTCTGACCACCCTGTGTGTCAGAAGTGTGTGTGTGTGTGTGTGTGTGTGTGTGTGTGTGGTTTCATTGCTGTGAATATTCAAATTAATTAATGGGGGCAGAGCAGGGATTCAAGAAAATGTGTATTTGGACTTGGGGGCTGGGTGGGGTGGGAAATGCATTTTGTTGGGGACAGACTGCACTTACCCAAATTCCCATTCCAGTTTACTGCCTTGTGGAAGATGACACAAATTCAAAAGCTCACTTTTTAATTTTACTTTAAAACCTAATAATGATTCTTGAAATCTGTGGTTAGAGGTGATATATATATATATATATATATATATATATATATATATATATATATATATATAGTATTGATATATATGACTGCTGACAGCATGGGGCAGAGTGGAGAAAACCAAGCAGCCACGCAGGATGCTTCTACATGGCGAGGAGTTCTGTATCTTGTAGTAAAAATAATGTTAGCATTCGCTTTTCATCCCTTTGACTTTCATGCCATTCTGGACTCTGTACTTTTCTAATCCAATTTTGTCCCTGGATACTTTTTTTTTTTTTTGTATTGGTGTTGAGTTCAGATGAGAAGCAATTTTGAACACCCCCCCCCCCCAATTCACCAAAATACCTAGAACCAGAGTCTGTGGAACAGCAGCTATCCCTTCAGATGGGGCGGTGGGGAACCCTCTCTCGGGAACTGCACCTTTGTGGAGAAGAGCGGGGCTGGAAGTAAGGCAAACCAGCACCCCTCTTGCTGGCTGGGGGCTTTGGGAAACATAATTCTCATCCTCAGTTCTTCAGTTCCTTAGAGAGGTGGGTGGCTCAGCTGAGAGGAGGTATCAATATCTGGCACACAGTAGGTTCCAAGTGTTAGCCAGAAAAACTAGAAAGCGCCCCCCCCCCCCCATTCTTTTCTTTTGATTCCCAGTTGCAGGCGGGAAGCCTCCTCAGTCAGATGTACACAGATCTCTGCAGACAATAGAGAGGGCTTGGGGAGGAGACCTTGGAGCTGGCAAAGGCATTTCCTGTCAGCAGAGGATCTTGACTTTGGAGCATCCGGCAGTCGGCAGTCACCACGAAGTGTAGCTACTATTTAAAAAAAAGAAAAAAAAGAAAGAAAACAGCCGACTGCCAATTTCAAGTGATTTTCCAGATGGAAGCCAATAAGACAACTTCTCACTTAAAAACATTTTTTTAAAGCCTGTTTTCTAACCAGTGGAGTCTTTTCTGTTTTGGAAGGGAAGTTTGGTAGCATTCAAAATCTTAAGTATTAAAAAAAAAATCTCATCACTTCCTATAGACTACTATGAGATAACCCCACTCCCCCACTGGTAGATACTTGCTGGAGGAAAAATGTCAATGCAGTTAGCCTCCACGATTCTTTTTAAAAAAATTTTTTATTTTTATGATTAAGGTGTCCTTATTCCATGATTGCATGTGTGTCCTTATTCCATAATTCTTTTTTTTAAAATATATATTTTATTGATTTTGTATGGAGAGGAAGGGAGAGAGATAGAGAGCTAGAAACGTTGATGAGAGAGAGTCATCGATCAGCTGCCTCTTGCACACCCCCCACTGGGGATATGCCCCCAACCAAGGTACATGCCCTTGACCGGAATCGAACCCAGGACCCTTCAGTCCCCAAGCCGACGCTCTATCCATTGAGCCAAACCGGTCTCGGCCATAATTCTTGTTTATATTTTTATCTTATAGTTGAATTATGCCCTTCATCCTTCCTCACTTCTCCATTTCAGTATATTCATTCCCCTTCTCCTCTCCTCTCCTGATCTCAGGATTCCTCTTCCTCATTCAGTTTATTTCTCCATTAAGAATAGAAAATGGCCTTGGCTGGTGTTGCTCAGTTCTTTGGGCATCATACTGTGCATTAAAAGGTCACCAGTTCAGTTCCTGGTCAGGGCACATGCCCAGGTTGTGGGTTCAATCCCCAGAAGGGGACATGCAGGAGGCAGCCGGTCGATGTTTCACTCTCTCCCCCTCTCCTTTCCTCTCTCTCTAAAATCAATGAAAATAAAATAATATAAAATGACTAGTTTTAGCTTTTCAGACAGCACAATTGAGACTAAGATTTTCTTCAAGTACATAAACATTTTTAGCTTTCAGGTGGGAATTCGAAGTTTGAGGGAGATGTTGGAGTCCTGATAACCTGCCCCAGCCCTCCAAGGCAGTTCTTTAACATCTCTCCCTCTTCTCCCCACCCCCCATCCCCCATCCCACACCCCGTTTTTGTCCTAGGCCAGTGG